CCCCCCTGCTCCCCCCCCCCCCCCCCCCCCCCCCAAGTGGCCGAACGCCAGGGCCCGGTCGCAATTGCGACCGCTGCGACCCTGGTAGTTTCGCCAGTGGCTCTGGGTTATGCCCCCTTCGCTCCTCTCCTGACAGCTGATTCTTACAAATAACAATTTTTCAGGTAATAAGCAACTACCAAAATCCATCAAAAGCTTTATTATCACTCGTCACTATGTAACTATCATCAATAACCAGTTTCAGTGCATTATTTGGGTTTTGCAGTTTTGAGCCCGGAGGTGGGAATCTTCCGAAGAACTGGTATCTTGGCCTAATTTTGGTATCGGCCATTTTAGAAGGTTTTGTATTTTAACTTTCCATTGAAATGTCCCAAACACGCATCTTACACTGTACAAGGTAGTATCACAGAACATCATGGAGTCCATATTTGAAGAACATTCGGCCCGGTGAATCCTTTACTGTCTTTGGACTTGAGTGAGATTTAGCATTCACCTGGCACAGTCACATTCACCCTGTTTACATAGATGGATGAATGTGCAGCAGCGGAATGCAGCAGCCGTTGAATCTGACATGTGCCGTGTCTGTGAGAAATCCTACTTAGCTTGCAGGAAAATCGGCTTGCAGGAGCTCTCCGTGGTGCTGAAACTGTGTTCGTACAACCGAAATACAGCGTGTAGCCATGGGACAGAACACTGCTGAGGCATTGAAAATAAATACTTATGGCCACTAGATGGAGCTGAGGGGCATTGGAAATACATATGGCCACTAGATGGAGCTGAGGGGCATTGGAAATACATATGGCCACTAGATGGAGCTGAAGGGCATTGGCAATATTTTTGGTCACTAGGTGGAGCTGAGGGGCATTGGGAATATATACATATGGCCAGTAGATGGGGCTGAGGGGCATTGAAAATAAATACTTATGGCCACTAGATAGAGCTGAGGGGGATTGGAAATATTTTTGGTCAATAGATGGAGCTGAGGGGCATTGAAAATATTTGTGGTCACTAGATGGAGCTGAGGGGCATTGGAAATACATACTTATGGCCACTAGATGGAGCTGAGAGGCATTGGAAATACTTATGGCCACTACTTGCAGCTGAGGGGCATTGTAAATAAACATTTCTGGCCACTAGATGGAGGTTAGGAGTACAGGGAATACATACTCAGCTCCATCTAGTGGCCATATTGCAGTATTGCATTACATTTGACCTGGAAAGATAAACTACGAAGGGCTTTATTTATAGAAAAAAGGTTATTTTTGGGCGAGTAATACAAAAAACAAATCTTCTTAACTTTTTTGATCTGAGCTAATTGCATAGAGAAGAACAGGGACC